AGAGTTATAAATATTTTTTCTTTGATGCTCCTAATAACACTGTGAGAGAGACATTATTATCTTTACCCTATTGATAAAGAAGTGAGGCTCAGAGGAAATAATTAAACTGCTTTAAGTCTCATAGCTTGTAACAGGGCCAGGATCTAAATCTAGATCAACTTCACTATAAAGCTTGAGGTCTTTTCACAATCCTACAGTCTCCAGGAGTAATATGGGTTTTATGAAAGATCGAACATCTCCAGAAGTGTGAGGACTCCTTCATCAACAGCCTGGGGAGTGATTTGTAATTTCTCAGGAGGGAAGAGGGGGGACATTGATAGTAGCTGTTACACCCCATGCCATTCCTCATGTCCCACCCCTCTGACATCATGGGTGTGCACCTCATGTCTAGAAGGCTCAACCTAGAGAGGCTCCACCCAGGGGCCCAACACCATGGAAACGAGCCCATCCTCTGGGCCCAGGGTGTCAGTACCTGCTCCCAAGACAGAGAATAAAGCCAAAGGCTGCATAACTTTTAGTCCAGACATCAGAGCCCAGGACCCAGAGGTAAGTTGTTGGAGGCATCCAAGAAATTCCAGTAGTTCCATCTCAGTGACTTAAGTTTACAATTCTGTGGAATGTTCTTCAAATGGCTCCCAATAGCATTCAGAATCAAGTTTAAGCTCTTAATCCTGACATACAAGGTCTTTCCTGATCTAGTTCTTGCCCTAGCTCTGTCTCTCTTTCTCTCTCATATCATACATGTGCTCTAACCACATGAACTACCACCAATATATTGTGCCCCTGGTTTTCACAAGCTGAACTTGCTGCGTGGAACACTAGTTATTCTTTGTCTGGATAACTCCAATCTATCCTTCAAAATTCAATGTCTCGGACATCATACCTCCTCTAGGAGGTCTTCCTGAAAGTCCAGGTCTGGATGAGACATCCATCTATCTTGTCAACACAACTATTCTCCATTATACTCCTCTGTCTGCATGTCTGCCACCTCCCTCAGCATGTGATTCCAGAGCAGGGCCTGTGTCTTAATCCACCTTGATTTCCCCAGTACCTACGGAAGATTGGTCCTAGTTTAAACCAAATATCTGGAAGAGTTTACGGGTATTTCTCATCATCAAAGTTAAAATCCTTTTTATAGCTGAGCATAAATAAAGATGATGTGAAACATTTATTTTTCTGTGTCACCATCTCACATGCCAGAATCCAATTCACACAGCCACTTGGGAACTGGGGGCTTTCTTCCTCACTTGTCTCTCTTCTTTTTATACACCCACTTTCCACCTATACTTCTTCCTCTCCTGCCTGGAATCTCAGCTTCAACTTGACCGGGAAGCATTAAACCTATAAAGCTTTAAGCCCTTCCAGTTCTTCAGAGTGGTACACCAACAAGCCAAATCAACATCTCTCTTCTTAATACCGATCAACTTTCTTAGTAAACCTTTAATGTATTTTTGTGCTAACACAATCTTTATATCTTTATTCTCTCTTACTAATGTCTTCTCTGCAAAGGATCTGTCTCAGGAAAAAGAATTAAGTGAGAAGGAAGTCACATATTATCTTTCATGTAAATATTTAATGTACAAAAGAATGGCTGGATGGTTGGATGGATGAATAAATGAAGAGCAGGATGTGTAGATGAATAAATAAATAAAATACCCCTAGTTTGGTCATGGCCCCTGGTACCACAGTGCTGACTATACTTTTGCTTGTTCTCTATGCATGGTCACTGTCTTGAATCCCAGGGTCCTGTCTTCAGGTATTGATTGAGATTTAATTATTTGCAGAGGCCTACCTGATGCTGATCACTGCCCCAGGCTTCCTAGTGTCTCCTAACTCAGAATTCCATAACCTTAGGCTCATCCACTTGTCACTACAACCTTCTCCTTGTAAAAGAAGTCACAGAGCAGATATTAATTCATCAACAACTACTAAGTGCCCTATTATTTGCTTTTTCTAGACTATGGCCTGCTGTCACCAGACTCCCTTGATCTCATTGTTCTACCCACCAAACTGACTATTCCCCTCAAAAATTTAAGTGCCCTGTTTCCCAGCACCTGGAAAAGGTCTACCCTAAAACTGGGCCCCTCCCTGTCTGGTCAACTTGACAGTTTTTAAGGCACAACATCAACGAGCCAAATCAACATTTCTCTTCCTAATACTGACCAACTTTCTTAGTAAATCTTTAATGCATTTTTGTGCTAACACAATCTTTATGTCTTTATTCTTTATTATTAATATCTTCTCTGCAAAGAATCTGTGGCAGGAAAAAGAAGACTGAGTTATGCAGGACAAAAAGTCCTTAAGGGAGCACAGAGGAGATCCTGATGGACATCAGTTTTATGAGGACAGGGTGTGATGTGAAAGGCAAGCCTTTTATCTTGCCAGGATTATGGTGACAAAAGGAAGTTCATGAAGGTGGAGTAGTGGTAGTGTAGCCACTTCTCTCATTTGCTTCTTGTCCCTGTTTTCCTTCATCCAAATTTCTACTCTTTTCCTTCCTTTCCCAAATTTTAGCTTTCAGCTTTGAATGGCCTTTGCGCTCCCTTTTGGCAAACTCCTTCAGAATTCACTGTCACCTTCCCCTAGAAGTCCTATGTTTCTCTGTCTGAGTTATGTGTGCCCTCATGTGACAGACAAGAAGCCCCGGCACCTAGAACTCCCTGAAAGAAAGGGCTTGCCCAGCTGCCAGGGCTATGATCAGCAGGCCACCTCCAGCTGTTATTGGTATTGAGAAGGCAGAGGCATAAAAGCCTCACCATTTTAGCTGGATGGGAGACCTTGATGTTGGATAATTAGCTCTCAAGCCCTTGTCTGGTTAGCTGAGGCTTGGTCAAGCCTCATCCAGGTTCAACCTTTTCCTCTGACCACGTCTGCTGCTTCTTTGCACAGGTGTCCATCACCAATAAACACCTTGCACTCCCAAATCCATCTCAGTGTCTGCTTCTTGAGACCCCGACTGTGATATCCATTTTCAAAGAGTGTAGCACATTAGAAAACCGTGAGACTTTGAGGTGACATAAATTTGAGTTAGAATCTAGTTTTCCCACTTACTACTTGTGTGACCTCTGAGCCTCAGTTTGTTCATCTACAGGATGGAGATAGTAGTTTATATCTTACAGGACTGCTGTGGTGGTTAAATAAGTACATATAAAGTGCCATGTGCACAGTAAGTGTTCAAAACACATTAATTTTTAGTCCCGTGTGCTTCTTTTCTCACACTGCTTATCATACTCCACAGCAGTTAAAAATTCAATTGTTTCTGTTTGTTGAAGGCAGGGACTGTTTCATATTTATTATGGTGTCCTTTACACCTAGACAGATCCTGTATAGAGTGAGCTTTCATTAAGTATTTGTTCAAAATAAATTAGTATTCTGATTTTACAGATGAGGGTACTGAGCACAGAGGTCGCATCAACAATAAGTAGTAGAGCCAGAATTAAACCTGTCTGTATTCTTCAAAGTAAAGGATTTGCTATCATAGTCTTTCATAAGTGCATGTAAAGATAGGGCCTGGCAATGCTAAAGAATTTGAATTTTATCCTGAGAACAATGGGGAACCATAACAGGTTTTAAATTTCAAAGTCATGTTTACATTTGGGGGAGGTCACAAAGGGTGTAGAATGGAGGCAGACAAAGAGAGGCTCAGTCCGAAGGGATAGAGAATGGATCCATTGTCTATCACTGTGTAACAGATTACTCTTGAAACAACAGTATTCCTACAGGTATGGCTTATTCAGGGATGGCGTAACTGGGTATTCCATTTCAAGATCTCTTACAAGGATGTAATCAAGGTGTCAGCTCAAGTCTCAACTTGGAGCGGAGTGGTATCCAAGCTCCCTGACGTGCTTGTAGGCAGGACTCGGTCCCTCGTTGACTGTTGGTTGGAGGCTGCCATGCAGCCTCTCCATAGAGCGGCTCACAATGCGGCATTTTCCTTTATCCAAGCGAGTGAGAAGAACCAGATGGAGAGAGTGATAACAAGACAAAGGTCATATTCCTTGTAACCTCATGTTGGAAATGACATCCAATCTCTTTTGCTGTGTTCTGTTCTTTAGAAACAAGCCAGTAGGTCCAGCCTACACTCAAGAGGAAGGGATTCCACGAGGGCATAAATATGGGGCGTGGGGTGTTATGGGTTGAATTGTGTTACCTCCACCCCCAAATTCATATGTTGAAGTCCTAACCCTCAGTACCTAAGAATGTGGTTTTATTTGGAGATAGTCTTTACAGATATAATCAAGTTAAAACGAAGTCACTAGGGTAGGCCTTAATCCAGTATGACTGGAGTCCTTATAAAAAGAGGACATTTGGAGACAGACATGCGTGCAGGGAGAATGCAAAGTGAACATTCAGATAGCCATCTATAAGCCAAGGGGAGAGGCCCGGAACAGAGCCTTTCCTCACAGCCCTCAGAAAGAACTAACCTTGCCAACACCTAAATCTCAGACTTCTAGGCCCCAGAACTGTGAGCCAATAAATTCCTGTTGCTTCAGCCACTCAGTGTGTGTAGAGCTTTTTTATGGCAGCTCTAGCCAACTAATACAGGGGGTCATTGAGAGTCACTTCAGGAGCTGCCTATTGCCGAGGCCTAAAGTCTGTCAGGTTTAGCCTGATGCTGAGGAAGGGGGTGATCTGGATGATACAAGACTTCTAGGCCCCAGAACTGTGAGCCAATAAATTCCTGTTGCTTCAGCCACTCAGTGTGTGTAGAGCTTTTTTATGGCAGCTCTAGCCAACTAATACAGGGGGTCATTGAGAGTCACTTCAGGAGCTGCCTATTGCCGAGGCCTAAAGTCTGTCAGGTTTAGCCTGATGCTGAGGAAGGGGGTGATCTGGACGATTAGATGAAAATCCCAGGCCTTGGTTGCTGATGGAGAGTAGGAGAGGGAAAGAAAAGGTGTCTGCTATGCTCACCATGATTCGTACATGGTCTAGGTAATGGTAGTGAGAACT